TGTTTCAGTTGCATAAGATAATAGATAAGATAATAGTCCATAATTTCTATTTTCATGAAAATGGTTCTAAAAACTTTTGGATCAATAAGTTGCACGGGGGAAGGCAGGGGGAGATGTGTAGAGAGACTGGTGTTTGAGAATGGAGAGAATTTGTATATCCTGGTCAGTGAAAAATAAAGTACAGTTGCTGTTGTTTGCACCAAGAAGAAGCTTGTTTATCTCTTCTTTAAGGTCTCGCAGGTATATTGCTATTTATTGTCCTCAATCGAGTTACTCATAGAGTATTGCCAGAGGTCTAGATAGATGGAATATTCTATAGTAACTGGAGATATTGGAGCAATATATTCTGCACTGCTGGTGGATGAAAAGACTCAAAGACCAGGTCATGACACTTAGTATAGCGATCAGCTACTCACAGACGGAATTAGGCCTGACCTGCTGCACCTTCAGTAACAGATGCCCGGGCCGTATTGTCCCAGTGATATATAGTAAATGCTTGTGTAATTGAACACCTCATTAAGACCTGTCAGTCCGGCCAGGTACAGGTAGGGTTGCCACCTTTCTTAGAAAAAAATACCGGCTATGCTAATTTTTTATTAATTATATATGCATGATGCCACTGGACACGACGTCACAGTATGTTGAGTAACATTTGAAAGAGGAAAGTTCCCTAAATTGCTAAAATACTAATTACAATGTGTACTATGTCTGACCTAGTTATTTAGGTGCACAGTCCCAAAAGTATACAGACACACAGTCATAAAAGGCACACATTCAAACAAACACAGAACTACAGGCACATAATCTTACAATCTGTTACGATTGCCCCCGGTCTAGCAGGAGGGTTGATCGCTTGGATGTCCTGGTTCCCGCTGCAGAGAGTCGAACGGAGGTCCTTCGGTAGTAAGCTGCAAATGTAGAATATTACCAAGCACGATATAAACATCAATATCCCGGATCCCTACAACATGAGTCGAGGCTGCAAGTTGAGGGTCAAAACGAACGGGCTTTACTGGCACATAGCATGGCAATTTATGTGATTCCTCAGGTCCAAGGACAGCCCCCTGTGGACCTGATGGAATACAGGTACAGTACAGACAAATATCCAATCGCAGTACAGGCATTATTTGAATTAGTACCCGCCCAGCTTGGAGATAATGAGGCCAACGGTTATACAATCTAATTATCTCCAAGCGCACAAAAGACCACGTTTTATTATGCCCCAGAAAACTGCATAAAAATCCATAACTTTTATATTAATACAGGGAAACCGCTCATCTGAAGGCTCGCGTTCGTGTATATAAAACAGGCGAATGGCGCTCTAATTCACGAACAGACTGGACTGTTTCTGCCGTATAAAGTCCGTTCGGCATTTTGAGATTGTTAGTCTTTGTTGGCGACCATGTTTTCTGCTGGGTTAGCGGGCAGTGGGACTTCGTGTCTAACTCGTGGAACTAAACTCGGTATCAGTTCATGCGAAGTCCCGCTGTCTGTCTGGTAGTGGGGCTCGTTCGGTAAGGGAATGAGGACCACCTGGTAACAGGATACTTGACCTGCGGTTAACCGCAGAAACCACAAGGTAATGACCGCCACGCGGCCCGCAGTAGGGGGTCGTTGTTCGGTTAGTAGTTCGGTGGATTCCGTTCGGTATTTGGATGCGAACGTTGATGCCCCCAGGCCTCTCAATTACGCTGAGGTTAACCGCAAACCGCAGCCGCCTGGGTGGTTAATGGCTGCCACACGCCGCTGGCTGGGTGGTCGAGCGTTCAGCAGTTTGCGGGGTGACGGGGTTAAGTGGCGGCACACGCCAATTCTGGGGGGTCCGCTGTTCGTACCACGAATGAGTCTTTTATAATGGTTTGGGTAATCCATTCGTGCGTCTTTTCGTTTTAAACTTATGCAGGGACAAACAGTATCAATCGGTTATTAAAACAGTAACATAGTTATTTCCAGTCTTTTGTAACACAATCTACACATACAGGTACACTGTCATACAGAGACATACAGATCTAGAGATACAGACACTGCCCTACACAGACATACAGCTATAGTGTGACATACAGACATAGTCATACAGTGACATACGAACCGTGATACAGACACTGTCCTACACAAACATGCAGTCATACAGTAACAGACATGCAGAGACTGTCGTACACAGACATTCGGTGACATACAGACATAGTCATACAGACACACACATCCAGTCATACACAGAGACACAGTCATAGAGACATAGACTTAATCATAGCGATACAGACATGTCATGCACAGTCATATAGTGACATACAGGCACACACATTCAGTTACAGACACAGATATACACACAGTCATACAGACACAGTAATACACAAGACATACAGACAGTCATACATGCAGTTCCAACTAAGAAGTGTAAATAAATGTTGCTATATATTTTTTATGTCCTGAGCAGGTCTACTCTCCCTCTATAAACCCTCCCTGCAGAGAGACCTGGTTACTTACACATTTACCTCTCTGTACCTGTATGTGGAGTGGGGCAGGTGGGAATACTTCAGAGCTGTAAAAGGCTGCTCTGCTTGTTAACTAGTTCAGTGCTGGGAAGGCAGGCAGGAGGCAGCCACAGCACACTTGGAGCAGCAGTCCTAACCGAGACTGAGTGTGAGCAGAGGAAGGGGTGCAGCTAAACATCGAACTGAGACTGAGAGGATCTCCCTAGATTTGCAAGAATGTATCTCCCCCCACTCTGCCTGAGTATCTCTCCCACTCTGCCTGAGTCCCCACTCTACCTATCTCAGGGAGCTTTGGCAGAGATACATGCAGATCTGGGAGATGCTGTCAGAGTTCCAGCAGTCAGAAATACCTGCCCCTATATCACCAGGGGGTTTGAGGACCACTAAGGGACAGGGAAGGAAGGGGGAAAGACTAAGGGACTGAAGAGGAGAGGAACATTAGAGAGGGGAGAGTTTGCACCAGGCCGGTCTGCCCTTAACTCTTTATTTTCTGGTAAGAAGATTGAGGATCTCCCTCACTGACCCCATGTCTGCTCGACAGTGAGGAGCGATCCAGGAGTGCGTCAGTTCTGAATTTTAAGCACTTCTCTCACGGGCTTTGCATTCAGGTTGTTGCCACATATTTCCACCTTACCTTTAGGCTCCTCTCTGCACCAGGAGAAGATGCATAACTGAAGCACTGGCAGAGACCACTGGACCACCAGGGAAATCGGCATTCCCCTTCCCTGGACAAAGGGAGGGGGAATTAACATCAATAAATAATTAATTTAAAATAACATGGAATTGCCCTCGTACTCACCCTACATCCCTATCTCACCCCACACTATGTGCCCTACCCATACTGCATCCCTACCCCACCCCACACTATGTGCCCTATCCATACTACATCGCTATCTCACCCCACACTATGTGCCAGTCCCTTACTACATCCCTATCCCACCCCACACTATGTGCACTACCTATACTACATCGCTATCTCACCCCACACTATGGGTACTATACTACTTCGTTATCTCACCCCACACTATGTGCCTGTCCCTTTCTACATTCCCACCCACACTATGTGCACTAGCTATACTACATCGCTATTTCACCCCACACTATGTGCTCTACCTATACTACATCGCTATTTCACCCCACACTATGTGACCTACACATACTACATCCCTATCCCACCCCACACTATGTGCCCTACCCATACTACATCCCTATCCCACCCCACACTATGTGACCTACCCATATTACATCCCTATCCCACCCCACACTATGTGCCCTACCCATATTACATCCCTATCCCATCCCATATTGTGTCCTACCCATACTACATCTCTACCTCACCGCACACTACATGCCCTACACATACTACATCCCTATCCTGCCCTACCCATACACAGTGTGCTCTATCCATACTACATCCCTATCTCACCCAACACTTTGTGCCCTACCCACACTACATCTCTATCCCACCCCACACTGTGTCCTACCCACACTACATCTCTATCACACCCCACACTTTGTGCCAACAAATACTACATCCCTATCCTGCCTTACCCACACTACATCCCTATCCCACCCCACACTGTGCCCTACACACACTACATCCCTATCCCACACCACACTATGTGCCTTACCAAAACTACATCCCTATCCCTCACCACACTGTGTCCTACCCACACTACATCCCTATCCCACCCCACACTATGTGCCTTACCAACACTACATCTCTATCCCACCCCACACTGTGCCCTACACACACTACATCCCTATCCCACACCACACTATGTGCCTTACCAAAACTACATCTCTATCTCACCCCACACTGTGCCCTACACACACTACATCCCTATCCCACACCACACTATATGCCTTACCAACACTACATCTCTATCCCACCCCACACTGTGCCCTACACACACTACATCCCTATCCCACACCACACTATGTGCCTTACCAAAACTACATCTCTATCCCACCCCAAACTGTGCCCTACACACACTACATCCCTATGCCACACCACACTATATGCCTTACCAACACTACATCTCTATCCCACCCCACAATATGTACCCTACTGTTAAGACCTGCAGTGGTTATGGTGCTGCGGTCTTCTGTTCCCTTTCCCAACAGCTGAGCATGGGTGATTATAGCTGGAGAAATAAGGTAGATGAAATGCAGTTCCAAGGTGATTCTTCCCAGCAAGTAGAATATCCCCCAAACATGAGCCTAGACTTCATGAAGGGTGTAACAGGAATGAATTTTATTGACACACTCAGGCTTTTATAAGAAATCCTCCTGCAAGAGGACCTCCCACAGCAAACAAAGACAACAGCCAATCAACGTACAGATTTACAGTAATACACGCCTCCTCTCTGCCTGGGAGATATTGAGATAAGTTAAGGAATAAACCAATTATCTCCAGGCAGAGAGCACACAATTTCCCCAAAACATAGAACACCCCTTTCCCCACAAGGTATCCCCACAAATTACATATCCCCTGATAGCCATGATCTGGGAGACAAACATATCCAAATTTCACCCAGATCGGTTTAGGGGTTCTGAAAAAGTGTGGAGGGTCCCGTTTACCGATCACACATGCGGCTTCTCCCCAAAACAGTTCCATGAATTCAGCGTGTGCGGTCAGTCAATTCACAAATCTGTAAAAACCGAACAAAAGTCCCGAATGGATCCCCCTGGCTCATAGTAGCGATTGCTCCCCTTGTCCGTTCGCACAGAACTACCGAATGGCGCTTCCCTGGCTGTTCGGGAAATACAAGAAGCCGGCGTTCGGTAGTTTCAGCGGTGGTTCGCGAGGTCGAGTGTACGATTTTAGTTCCAGACACTCGACGACCAAGTCCCGCTGACGCTTCTCGTGCAAACAAGATGGCTGCCATTTTCTATTCCACGTGGCGTTCGGCTGTACGAACAGCGGCCGCCCAGGGAGCACTTAATAGCTGGTTCCTTTGTAGTCAATGAGCCAGGAGGGTGGTCGGCGTTCGGTAGTTTCAAACTACCGAACCAATACATTCAATATACAGGTAGTACCACAGGAAAATACCGAACCAAGGAGAAAATGTCAATTACAAGTCCACATTCTTCACACCTACACACACTGCATCCCTATCCCACACCACACTATGTGCCTTACCCACACTACATCTCTATCCCACCCACACTATGTGTCCTACACACATTACATCCCTATCCCACCACACACTATGTGCCTTACACCATCTACATAATCTACAAACATACACACTGCATCCCTATCCCACACTAGAGTGTGTTCCTTACATCCATATCCTGCAAAATACCATGTTCCATACACACACTCCATAACCTACACATTACATCCCTGTCCCACACCACACACTGTTCCCTTCACACACTACATCCCTTTCCTACACCTATATTCCCTATATTCCCTATATTCCTTATCCCAACTCACACTATGTTCCTTACACACACTGCATAACCTACACACTACATAGCTATCCCACCACACACTATATTCCCAAAGACCCATTTTTAAAGGTGCACTCTAGGTACCAGAGTCACTACAGTTTAATGTAGTGGTTCTGGTGCAAAGAGATTGACCCTGTAGGCTCAGCAGTGTAGGCACAGCCTTTTCTGTAACCAAGCATGTCAATGGATATAAATGGCCTCATGAGGTTGCCTGATTTAAATATAGTTCAATTTTTTGATAAAGTAAGCTGCAATTCTCATTTGGAAATGATTCTGTTTAAGTTAACTACCTACTTGCATTTGTTTATTGCATTTAAGTATTGTCAGGTCTGTCTCCAAAGTTACTAGCAATAAAGACCTTATTTAAATAAGGTTTGAAAAAAAAATTTTTTTGCATCAGGACAAGTAGATTGTCATGGTGGACAATACTTAAAAATTTTCACACCTCTATGTAGGCTGTTTGTGTCTGCACATTCACAGCCAAGATGGATTCCTGACATTTTTTTTTCTTTTCTTTTTTTTCTTTTCATTGTTACCCTATAACTTATTTTCATGATTTCTCATTTTTATTTTTCAATCAATCTTACCGTGTTTGCCCGAAAATAAGACACTGCCTTATATTTATTTTCACGGGATGTCTTATTTTTATTAAGTATGGTACAACAATCTACATTTATTCAAAAGCAGAGATAGGCCAGCAAAGCTGATATGTAAGGGCTGGTTTATTTATCAGGGATCCAATGAGAGCTGGGATGATCTCTCTGGGCTCCATAGCAGACTGCTTTCTGAAGATTTTTCTCCTATCCCTGGTGTTTGTGTGGAGTGATAGAGACCCACAGACTGTTGCTGGTCAGTGCACAATACCTAAAGCAGAGCATCCTGCTCCTCACTTCAATGAGGAGACTTTTACTTTCTATGTCTCCCTCTATGCCTCAGCTTGCAGCTCGCACAGAACGACGGGACCTGACAGGGGGAGCCGACCTTGTTGATAGCAGCTGTCACGATGGGGCAGATGAGAAGGGCTGCCCGTCTTCTTTACTGCTCTGCGCCGGTACTATGTCTTATTTTCGGGGTATGGCTTATATTGCGCAAATGCTTAGAAATCCTGCTAAGGCTTATTTTATGGGTATGTCTTATTTTCGGGGAAACGGTATATATCCAAAACTAGTTTTAATCATTCATATTAGTGGACAGGAGATTATTATACCATTGTCTTATTACAGGGCCTCTATAATGGCAGATTTAAATTGAGTTAAGCAATACACCGATCTCATGGATACCTGTTATCCTTGAGACAAGAGTTGTGAGATATTACCTGTGCCACGCGCTACAGTGGAAAGGCAGCAGCAGATTAAAGAGGTCAATGTGGCTGAAGTATTGGTGCAGAAAGGAGGGTTTGGGGTTTTTAGAGCTTGGGTACAATCTTTATAGCCATGATGAATTGCACGTAAACGGGAGAGGGTCTTCAGTGTTGGGGGACAGGATGGCTAGAAGGTTGAAGGAGATTTTAAACTAGTGGTAGGTTGTGAGGGACAGAGTAATTTACAAAATAAAGATGGGACAGAAAGGAGACGTGCTTTTGCTTAGTCCATGGGTGGAGGGGTAAGATCAGAAGAGAGCAGGTATGTAAAGGTAATAAAAAAAATACATAAAATACAAGTGACTCATATATTAAATGTATGCTTACTAATGCAAGCAGCCTAAATAGCAACATGGGGAACTAGAGGCAATAATGGGGTATGTTTGTACGTCAACCATGAGTTAAAACCAAATCTCAAGCAAGTGGAAAGTGATGAGCAAAAAATATTGGTAGGTATCTGCCTTGGGGCAAAAGAAGGGAAATCAGTTGTTGGTTGAGATGTTATAAACCACCTAACGTTAATATTGATGAGGAAGAACAGCTGTTTGAGCAAATTGAGCAAGCTGGGTAAAACGTTAATTATTGGCGATTGTAATTACCCTGGACATAAATTGGCACAGGGGGAATAGTATTTCAGCAAAGGGAATTACCGTATATACTCAAGTATAAGTCGACCCGAATATAAGTCGTGACACCTAATTTTACCCCCTAAAAATGGGAAAACGTATTGACTCGAGTAAAAGACTAGGGTGGGAAATGCAGCAGCTACTGGTAAATTTCTAAATAAAATTATATCCCCCAAAATTATATTAATTGACTATTTATTTACAGTGTGTGTATATAATGAATGCAGTCTGTGTGTGTGTATATGAGTGCAGTGTGTGTGTGTGTGTATGTGATGCAGAGCCTTGGTGGGGGGTGGGCATTTTTTTTAAATTATTATTATTTTAATATTTTTTTTTTTGTTATATTATTAATATTTTATTATTTTTTTAATATTATTAATAGTTTAGTATTATTTAAAAAAAAAAAAAAATTATTTGTATTTGTCCCCCCTCCCTGCTTGATACATGGCCAGGGAGGGGGGCTCTCATTCCCTGGTGGTCCAGTGGATGGGCTGTGTAGGAGGGGGGCTGGTAGCGAGCTGTAACTTACCTTTCCTGCAGCTCCTGTCAGCTCCCTTCTCTCTCCTCCAGTCCAATCAGCTCCCCTGTCAGCTCCCACAGCAAGTCTCGGGGTCTGAGTGTCGCGCAGAGCGTTGCAACGGGTTCTCTGACCCCGCGGCTCTCGCGAGACTTACAGTGGAGCTGACATGGGAGCTGACCAGACCGGAGGAGAGAGAAGGGAGCTGACAGGAGCTGCAGGAAAGGTAAGTAACAGCTCGCTGCCAGCCCCCAACAGGACCGCCGGGCTTGTAATGAGCCCGGCGGTCCTGGTCTGTATTATGGCAATGTAAGTTGCCATAATACAGATATTGACTCGAGTATAAGTTGAGTGGGGGTTTTTCAGCACAAAAAATGTGCTGAAAAACTCAACTTATACTTGAGTATATACAGTAGGTTTTTGACACCTTCATGTCACAACTTGTACAAGCACCAACTTGAAAGAGCACTTGTCTGGATCTGGTTATAACAAACAACGTTGATCTTGTGACCAACATTTAAAGGACCACTATAGTGCCAGGAAAACATACTCGTTTTCCTGGCACTATAGTGCCCTGAGGGTGCCCCCACACTCAGGGACCCCCTCCCACCCGGCTCTGGAAGTGGGAAAGGGGTAAAAACGTACCTTTTTACAGCGCTGGGCGGGGAGCTCTCCTCCTCCGATCCTCCTCTTCTCCTCCCCGTCGGCTGAATGCGCGCGCATTCAGCCGGTCGCATAGGAAAGCATTATCAATGCTTTCCTATGGACACTTGCGTGCTCTCACTGTGATTTTCACAGTGAGGATCACGCAAGCGCCTCTAGCGGCTGTCAATGAGACAGCCGCTAGAGGCTTTGGGGGAAGGCTTAACCCATTCATAAACATAGCAGTTTCTCTGAAACTGCTATGTTTATAAATTAATGGGTTAACCCTAGAAGGACCTGGCACCCAGACCACTTCATTGAGCTGAAGTGGTCTGGGTGCCTAGAATGGTCGAGTAAGCACTCGGGAAATGGTGATCACAATATAATGTCCTTGATTTAAACTAAAAAAAAAACAAAAGCACATGGGGTATACTAAAACATATCATTTTAAAATTTCAATAGCAAAGGGCAACTTTACAATATATTCACTTTTTTTATATTGACTCTTTAGTGGAAAAAAATAAATGGAATATCTTCAAATATTAGAAAGGTACATTCCTAAGTATGTACCATTGGGTAATAGATATAAAGGCAACACATTGAAACCAAAGTGACTTGGTGGGAAAGTGAATAAAGAAATTAAAACTAAGAAAAGGTCATTTAAAGCCTTTAAATCAGAGGCATCCTATAAAAGATAAAAGCCAATAATGCGTGCAAAAAGGTGATTAGATTCACTAAACTTCAAAACGAGGAAGTGATTTCCAAAGAGAGCAAAACCAACCCCAAAGCATTTTTAAGTGCATAAGTTCTAAAAATAAAAAATGAAAATATAGGTAGAATGAAAACCCCCGGCACCCCCCTTCCCCGCCTTCTAAATACACACACACACACACACATTCACTGACAGACACGCATACACTAGCTAACAGACATACACACTCACTAACAGACACACACATTCACTAACAGACACGCATACACTCTCACTAACAGACACACACAAACTAACAGACACACACATAGTAACACACTCCCTGACACACACTCACTAACAGACACATACACACCAACAGACACACACACTCAATCACTAACAGACACACA